TTACATGTTCGTTCCAGTTTATTTTTTCTTGTTTTTATTCACCTTTTAATATTTTGAATTTTGCATTGTTCGCGTATACTTTTGTTGGTTTGTCTGTCTCTTAGTGATATGCCCCCTATTGATCTTAATACTTTCATTTCGATATTGTTGATTTGTTGTTTCGTCTTTCTTGTATCGGTCCTTGTCTCCGCTGCATATGTTAGGATTGGTCTTACTGTTGTCTTGTATACTTTCATTTTGCTTTCCGTGGTCAGATATTTGTTTCTCCTCATGGTTTCTCGGCGGCAACCACTTATTCTTACCGCTTTTGATGCTTGCCTGGTGGTCTCTATTCTTATATCTCTGTCACTAGTGATCTCTACTCCTAGGTAATTGAATTTCATTACTTGTTCTTCAAATTTGCCGTGTATTTCTAGTTTACATCTATGCAACTCTTTACTGATCACTATACATTTAGTTTTTTTCTGCCAAATAGAATTACTGTGTGCTGTGTAAGCGTTATATTTGTTTTTTTTAACTTAATAGTTTCCTTGTGTTTATTTGTTTATATAAATATAAAAATATATTATGAAGTTAATATAAATTAAAGTGAAGTAAGCTAAACTATTATCATGTGAATGTGTGTATGTAATAGTGCATTTGTTTATTTCAGTAAATTCTTGAAATATGAAATGAAGATAGCACTAACTACTAAAGGATTATTAGCTTTGTTAGAAGAAGACTTAGATTGTGAGAATGCTGACTCACTTAATGTGGATTATTTGCCGCCGAGATTAGATTAGAAAGTTTCTGATGTAGAAGACATTGATGATAATATTATATGTGAAGAATCAATAAAATCGGATATTACAGGTACATATGAAATACAAGTGATTGGGAATTCTGACGATTCTGATTATGATATTCCTTAGAACCACAGATAAAACGTCCAAAGAAAAAAACAGGCAAAAATAGTAAAAATAGTAAATCCAAATTTGTCTCAAGTTGTAACAATGGATACTTCTTCGTGCTGCCTCGTGCAACTTATATATTGAAGTTTTTTCACTATTTTTTGATAAAAAAATAATTGAGAGCATTCTATATTTTACAAATATTTATGCATCACAGAATAACCGTCACTGTGGTTAACGTGGTTCACTGGTAAACACTCTGCTTCAAGTTGATATGCATTGGTGAAAGGATGAGGATAAAGAAGTGCACATTATTAAGAGAAAGCATGAGCCGACATAGATTTATATTTATAATTTATAATAGTGAAGAAACCGCTAAAACTTAATACATGGGCGTTAATCCTTATTTGCTTTACCAGATGAAACCAGATTCGACAATATTGGCCACATTACAAAAAGCTGAGACGATACAAGAATGTAGGATCGTAGGATGTGCAAAAGTAATACTATATATTTATTTATGGAAAAGGTGTAGAATTCTTCTACACCCGAATGTTTCGAAAATTTTCTTCTTCTAAATGTGCCTATCTAGAGATGTTGGCAACCACATTGACCCATCTTATTCTATTCATAGCAGCTCGAAATATATCAGTTGACGTTAGATCAGTCCATTTCCTAAGATTGTAGAGTCAGTCCAGGGCCTCTCTTACCCTCAATCTTGCCCTGTAGCAAGACTGTAGAAGTCGGTATTTATCATTATGCATGATGTGGCCGAAGTAATCCAATTTTCTGTTTTTTTTTATGGTGTTAATAATTTCTTTGTCTGTTCTGAGCTTCTGAAGAATAGTTATGATACTTGTGTGATGTATATATGAAACCCTCAACATACGTCGGTAACACCACATTTCAAATGTCTCCTATCGTTTTATGGCATCTTCTGTAAGGCTCCAACTTTCTATTCCTTAGAGGAGGATACTAAAGACGTAACATCTAAGAAATCTTATGCGTATATTGATAAAGATAAGTTGCAGAGAATCTGCCTATGGCTCTTGAAAGATCTTCTGGCTTTTTCAATAGGAGTTTTTATTTCGTAGCTGTGATCCCAAGTATCCTTAATATTAACCCAAATCGCATATTTTTCCACTCTTTCTAACGGTGTATCGTTAATTGTAATTTGGGTGTTTATCCAGTGTTCTTACTACTAATGATCATTATTTTTGTCTTCTTGCAATTTAGTTTTAGGCCGTATTTGTTACATGCTTCTACAACGTTATCCATCATCCTTTGGAGCCCCTGCGCACTATCTGCCAGCAACATTGTATCGTCTGCATATCTAATATTGTTTATAAGTTGGCCATTTACAGCAACCCCATCTTCTCATTCTTCCAAGGCCTCTCTAAAGATGTTTTCAGAGTATATGTTAAATAATGCCGGTGACAATATGCAACCTTGTCTAACTCCTTTTTCGACTGTGAAGATCTTGGACAGTTCGTTTTCTAATCATACTGTTGCTTTTTGTTTGAGATATAAGTTTAAGATCAGTCTTATATCCTTACCATCGAATCCTGATGTTTTTAGGATATCGATTAGTTTCCCATGAGGGACTTTATCAAATGCCTTCTAGAAATCAATGAAACATGCATACACATTGCAGTTGACATCCCTGGCTCTCTGTATTAGAACTTGCAAACTAAAAAGTGCTTCCCTCGTTCTGAGTCCTGCTCTGAATCCAAATTGAACTTCACTCAGGTGTTCTTTTAAGTTGGTTTATATGCGAGAGTGAATGATAGTAAGGAGTACTTTAAGTACATGGCTCATCAAACTAATTAATCTATGTTCTTTACATTTTCTAGCGTTGGCTTTTTTAGGAAGTGGAATGAATATTGACTGTAGCCAGTCTTTCGGTAAGTAACCAGTCTCGTAGATGTTGAATAGCTTCGTAAGAGCTGTGATTTGGTGTGCCTCTAATAGCTTCTAATATCTCTAATAGCGAAAATTTTCACCTTAAAATTGAATTTACATTTAAGATACAATATGTTCTTTTATTAAAAATTGTACTGTTTTCCTTGAAAAGGAGAAAAAAAAATCTTTTTGGTTGTAAATTAGTCTTAATTTATGTGTATTTAATCCAATCTAATAAATTAATTGTCAAATTACTCTTTGTATATTAAGCGGTCGTTAATGGGTTTAACAGGAGAGAGAATGGAATGGTGGAGAATTGCCGACAAGAATGTAGAGCGTAGAATAATTTTTAAATAATTTTAAACTGTTTGTCCTTGTTTTAGTGTAGTGTTATGCATAATTTATGTTCAATTTCATGTTTATTACATTCTCCGCTTGCTAGATAGCCCAAATTTGACGAAATGCCTCTGATGATGCTGTAGTACTTGGGCAAGATTTGATTATTAAAATTGTGCTCGATATTATCCTTAAATTTTTCAAACTTCATTTATTCGAGCATTCAAGATTACATATAAATACCAAGTTGTCTTCGTCATCTACAGACTACAGTAGCCTCCAAGACAGGTGTATCCTACATCAAAATATAATGACAGATTGTATAATGGACTAAAGATATTTATTGTCAAAACTTTGGATTTGAAAAAAATAATTTTTAAAACTTCTCACCTCTGTAATGATTTTTTCAGTGAAAATACTGCTGTCGTTATCAAACTCTACAGCAACTGGATTATCATCTGCTCCAAGTAACGTCTCCTGTAAAATTAAAAACACAGTTACCATAAACGGTCTTAAAATTTTCAGGAAATTTATAAATAAATTTAAATAATAAAAATAATAAATAATAAAATACAATTACGGTAACAAAATGTATTCTAATATAATAAATTAATAATTTACTGTTTTATCCTTAGAGCAACTTTGCTTCACAGACAGAAGATTATCATCTTTTTCTTGAACCAAGTTACTTGATTCACAAATCATTTATGATAAATGCAATATCAGTCTACTACGATTGATGAAATCTTTTCCACAATTATTACAACTCAATGTAAATAATTTTAATACCAGGTCACTGTTAACTGTTAAACACAGACCAAGAACAACTAACTAAACTAAAATAAGGTTAGAAAAGATGGTCTCATTGCGCAGTAACTTCCAAATTCTAGAGTCAAACTCTGGACCACAGGAGTGATGACGTAGATTTTACTGACATACGTCAGTTTCACTTTCCAAACAAACCTGGTTTAGTGTGGATAATTTATATTTTTCGTTATTTTTTCATTTATTTTATAGAATCTTTCCGCTTATTGTAATATTTAAGTATTCTATTAGTTACTACAACAATTTTACAAGGTTGTGTAAATAATAAGGCACATTGTTTTATGCTAATAGCAATAAAATGCATGTATCAATAAAGTAAGGTTACAATTTCTTTATTTAAACTTTTAAACTATATTTCATAGAAGTAGAACTCTGAATTATGATGGTATTATCGTAAAAAACACTATGATTACAAGAAAAAGCAGCAGAGGAAGCAAAATGTTAACTTTGTAGAAATTAAAAAGTCTTGAGATTTGACATTTCAAGTTTTGTTTGGAAAGTAATAATGTCAATGTGACAGTCGTGACGTCACACTCCTGCGGTCCATTGTCTGTTACATGCCACATTCGATTCCACTAGAAGAATTTAAGTGAGTTCTGTAGTAAGTTACATACGAGGGGTATTTCCTTAAATGAATCTGTGGTACGTAACATACAACAGTCTTCTATTCAGAGGCTGGTCATCTTTTTGAACTAAAACAACTTTTGTTGGCTAAATAGCATTTAAATGATGAGAGCTGGATATGGCGACAGTGTTTCATTGATAAGAGCTTAAATCACATATGAATCAAACATAACCTGAAAATGGTTATTTTGGAACTTACAACGGTTGTCATCTCAGGGTGCGATACTTTTGCCTGTACTTTTTATTACCAAAATAATTAACCTCAAATGCAACCAACCATCAGATATGAAATTTTACTATTCATATAAATGTAAAAATCACATTTTTTGACAAACCATGTATACTACTAATCAAATTTGATATCTGAAGGTTGGTTGCATGTTAGGCTTATATTTTTAAATGCAATGAAGTATATATTTTTAGAGCCATAAAAGCCATGGGAAATTCTGAAGATAGTTTCAAGAATATCCAAGATAACTTAAAAAATGGAATATTTTTAAAACAACAATTAAAATATGAAGAATCTAGAAGGAAAAAATCTGACACAAGTTCAGTATATAAGCGTCTATCAGCTCACATAACATTAGACTTACCTGAACTACCAGAGTTATCTGATGTTGTGAGAGAAACAGCAAACCGTGTAGAACACATGATGTCCAAGGCAACTCAAAGTTAATAGCATATGCTGTCAATTCATATATAGAAGGGAGGAAATCTTTATATTATTTTCACAGTCTGAGTTTTCATCAGCATAGAACTTTACTGTTCATTTGTACTGTCAAAAGAATCCCATGACAAACATTTTAAAACAGTTGATTATATTGGTGATAGGATGAATTCTGTTAAAATTTTTTGCTTTTCAGATCAGAAGCTTTAAGATTAAAAACTATGTTTTCACAGTGTCCTATGTAAAGCCAAATTGTTTTTCTACTTATGTGGCATTATTAGAGAAAATGACTAAGGTCGAAACCATTTATTAAGGCTGGTTTGCCATTTAATTCTGATAAATGGTCGATCGGCATGTTATGTAAAATGTTATTTAAAATAATTATTATTGTATTAAAATTATTAGTCACTTTATACTTTATTTAATTTATTTAGTTTTTAGTTTATTTAGTAATGTTAATTAATAATTCCGTGGCTGGCGTGAATATGTTGACATGTCTAAAAACACAGTTTTTCAGGGCATTGATTTTAATTTTTGGCAATTAGGTGTAAAAAAGATTATTAACTTTTTTGTAGTTTAGTGTCGTAAATATAAGTAATTTTAGTCGATTTTTCCAAATCTGGAAAAAAAGGGGCATTTCCTTTGGTTATTTTATAGAAATCCGACTTGTCACATTGTTCACCTAGTACTTGTCAACTTATTCACCATAAGCAACTTACTCTGATTCAAATAAATCTGATGAAATAGATTAACTTTACAGAGAAATAAAACATGCCCTTCGGTTTGGAACGTTTATTTCAGAAACTAACAACAACGATACATAAAATAAATTGTGATTATAATAAACAAACAGTCTTCTTTGTCACATAAAAAAATTAAAAACAATAATTGTTTTTGTTATTATTCAATGCTCTCTTCATATGTATTGTCATTATCGACATCATCTGGATCTCTTTCGTCAATGTCGGGATCTGTTGATTTGGTTTCAGTTGTTTTTATATTTGAATAGAAGTCGTGGAACAAAGGATCTATTAGATACAAAATATCCAGAAGATATTTTTTCTTTTCTTTGCTTATTGGTAAAGGTTCTTTCGTTATTACGTTTAAGTGAAAGGAGTATGTAGGTTTTCCTCTTTTTTGAAAGTAAGACAATTAAAGGAGGTATTATCTTCGAGATTATCTTTAAAATGAATTTCTCCAACGGATTTTTGATATTGCAGCCATTTAACTGGTTGCCATAAAAACTTATCTCCAGCAACATCCTTTTTTCTAATTGTGAAAGGTCCTTTTCTTAAGCCAAGCTCAGCAAAGTTATAAAAACCGTTTAAACTCATTAGAACAACTTTAAATGGGTTTTTTATCTTGCATGATCTAACTAGTTGAATCCAATCATGAAGATGGTTAATTTTCATTTGTGTTTTTTTAGTTTTCTCAATAATGGCGTGATCAGTCACATTCCATGTGACTATGACCACTAAGGAGAAATTTGTGATTAATAATTTCTAAAGTTGGGTGCTTATCTAATAAAAATGTAAACATCATTGCCACGATGTTATTTTTATTCTGCCCAGCGCAAGTATCTAAAAAGAATGTAATTTCTTTGACGACTGGTGGAAGATAATTTAAACAAAAGTGCCACAGACAGGATGCGATTTGATTTGCACCACGTGCTCCAATTGTCTCATCCCACATGTAATACGTAGCTTCATCCGTTGCCAAGTCGTGAACCGTTAAATTAAAGGTCCAAAGCTGCCTCCTGTAAAAGGCAATTGAGGTTTGTAAAAGTGGTGTGGGTAGACACTGTTGGAGGTCAAACGCATAAGCCCGAAACGAGGAATCTTCTTGAGCTCTTGCTTTACTGGCGCGTTTTGCAGAATAAGCCTTTTCAGCCTGCAAATGATGCTCAGCTAATTGAATTTTTAAATCTCCATTTTCCTCAGCTAACTTCATCTGCATCGTTATCATATCACACGTGGGACACGTGTCTTTTGATGGTTTTTAAAAGATAGTTTTAAGTCGTGAAAACAATTTGAGTACAGTTCTTGCTTTACTGGCGCGTTTTGCAGAATAAGCCTTTTCAGCCTGCAAATGATGCTCAGCTAATTGAATTTTTAAATCTCCATTTTCCTCAGCTAACTTCATCTGCATCGTTATCATATCACACGTGGACCACGTGTCTTTTAATGGTTTTTAAAAGATAGTTTTAAGTCGTGAAAACAATTTGAGTACAGTTTTAAAGAAACCGGCTGTAAGCAAGTTTCTTTATATAACCTATACATTTTTGTTACAGAAAGATCAGGAGATAAATATTTTTTATTTGTGGATTTTCTACAGTAATTTCTTTCGTAGCTAGGAAAAGATCGAATATGATTTTTGACTGAAGTTATATTGTCTATACTTTTTTATTGGCAGGAGGACCTACACACCTTTGATCGGATTCTATTATTCCGGTTGAAGAAAATTTCTTCTTCTGGACAAGTACATTGATAAATCCTTTAGTCTTCCCTAATATTCTACAGAAACATTCTTTGCAGGTTCGTTTTGCTTCATTATTAACGATCAGTTTGTATGTACAATAACACTCTCTATTTATTGCTTTGCCGTCGGTTTTCTGGGTCTTTTTAGGTAAAATTGAAACTAACCCCGATATGTACATAGCCCTTCGATCTCTACTCCCTAACTTCCAGTAATCATTAAAACATGTAGCCCGTTCGGCTTCACTGAACCTTTCAGCACATTTTAGTGTACAAGGTAATAAGTTTTTCGATAATCTTTTGGGTTTAGTTTTACCTATTTCTGTAATATAGCTCTCTCCTGCATTTCTAAGCCTTTTACATTCTTCTCTTTCTCTTCGTGTTCGACTTTTCCTTTTGTATTATTGCTACTGGTTAGAGTTTCAAAAACTGGAATATTTTCCGTATCAGAGTTGCTGTCGTCATTTTGCAGATTTTCGACTGAATGTTTCATAAGATTTTCTTTGGGTAAAACATAATCTGGATCTGCTACACTATCGTCTGAGAAATTTAAGTCTGAAAAAAAAACTAATAATTTAATATACAATTCTACATAACATACATAGCCTACGACATACATTTTAAAACCCATTTCCTCTAACAATATCTCACAAATTGACACTTGAATACAAAGATAAAATGCAACTTTTGTTTTGTTAAGCTTTTTTACGAAATTAACATGCATTTCTTACAGTAAAGCGAAACACTTACCTTCTTCTAGAATATTTTTTAGTCCTGTTGCTGGACAACTTTCACTTTTATTCTCTGGAATAAGATTTTCCACTTCCAGAAATTCCTCATCATTACTTGGTACACAACCTTCTTTGGCATTTTTATGCAATTCTCTTAAAAATTGTACCCGATTCGCCATCGTAACAGAGGTAACTGATGTTATCAACATTAACATGTGTGATTAACTGAACAACTGAAAACCGTTTAACTGTATGTACATCACGTGACCCACGCATCTAATCGAAGCATCCCGATATTGAAGGCTGGAAAGTGGAAATGTACATATCGTGCATCTCATTTTATTAACTTAAGATCATATTGTACCCAAAATGACAAGTCAAAATATCAAAATACATAATAGTCAGAAAAGAGGCGTCAAGTTTCACATAACTATAGTAAAATTCAATAAGCGATGCAGGAAAATGTAAACATTAAATCGTGTCCGAACCGGTATGTCCCGCCGATAACGTCGCCAGACGAAATAAAGATGGACATTTCGGTTAGTTTTTAAATATTTTTGAAGAACTGTTACTTGCATTTATGCATAAAATATTCATTAATTTTATAAATCGGATTATTTTTTCACTTACTATGTATTCAGTGAAAACATTAATTTATTTACTATGCAATAAACACGAATATTTGAGAAAAGAAAAAAAAAATAATAACGTGTCATAATTATACTGTTACTTATCGGACCGAGTAGACTCATTTGGAACATCTTTAACAATTATCTGTTAAATTTATCGTTGTTTATATGCCCTGCATCGCTTAATGGAATAAGGTATAGTTATAAATTTATTATTACAGGAAGAGGAGCGAGAATAACTGGATAAGTCGAGGTATCATATTAGATATAGTGGCATTCTAACAAGTGTAACATCACAAAATGAGTTATAAAAATACGTAAAGGAATCTAAAGTAAAGATTAAGTCAACAACTCGACTGGTCAAATTTAAATTTTGTTTTATCAATTTGATATCTATAGATGTTAGATATATCGCGGCTTTCAAAGAGTTGTCAGTATATTCACAATGAGTTTAATCGTTATTAATGTGATTTCTTAAGATATTCACTTATTCACTGCATAAAGTCATTAATAAACAATCTGTTGTAATAAATATTAGAAAAATGCAATATTTTGACTTGTCAAGTTATTCACGCCAGCCACGGAATTTTGATTTATAAAAAGATTCACTAGAGACTTTCAGAATATTGAAGCAATTAAATTACTATAACTATATACTTATAATATTTACATATAAAAAATTAAGACAGTTCAACACGAGTTCTTGAAATATGTAACATATAAACAGGGTACACCTTTTGAATTAAATCAAGTAAATTATGTTCAAATTGAAACCCAACTTAGTATTGTCTCATTGTACGACCAATGATTAATTAAAGATGCAAAGATGCTTTATGGCATAATTAATTCTACAATGTTGTGTCCTCAGCTACTTAAGCTGGTTGGTCTGCATGCACCTCTGCGTAGGACACGATTCAACCAAACTTTTTATGTCCCTCTTTACAGAACCAACTATGCATATGATAATTTTTTTATCTCGAGCACTAAGATGGGCAAATATTCACCCAGATCTAGATTTTTTTGCACCGAAGGCCGAATTCATTTCTGGTCTCAGGCATGTGTTTATATGAGTGGCTGGAATAGGTAATTATCATTTTGATGTGTAAAACTTAATTATGTTATTAAGTTTGTGATATTTATACTTATATCTTTTCGTTTTATTATATACATTGTAAACATTGTTAATCTTATTGGGCAGCAGTCCGTTGAAAATAAATAAATAAATTAGTATTTAGCATAGTATAATATAGTAAACTGAATGATTACTATATTTAAAATGTCATATATAAAAAAATAATACATTTTTTCGTGTATAATAGTTTAAATAGGATGTGTGAAAAAAGTGGAACAGTAAAATATTTCGCGAAATGAACTTTGAAACGAAAAACTGAAATACGCTTCCAAATGAAAAACTGAAAAATATGTGTTCAATATTTTTCAAAAATCTATCGAATGACAATAAACATGAACCCCCACCCTACATCCTGGGATTGGGACGGGGCAACTTTGAAATCTTAATAACAACCCCATTTTTTAAATTCAGGTAAAACTTGTTTACTATTTTATGTTAAATCGTAATCTTTTTTTTATTGTTACATTCCATATTTACAATCTACTCTATACACAGAGTAATAAGTAAATAGTCTGTAAGTAAATTAACGTGAGTTAGGTATCGTCCGGTGACGGTTCTGCAAGTATTATTGCGGTAGGTCTTCTGGCCATACCCTCTTCAATCTTCTTTTAGTAAGTGGTTGGGTGAATAAGTTATTTATCAGTTCGTTGTTGTGATCAGTGGTGCGATTTTTATATTTTATTGAGTGATTCTTTTTTGTGTACTTAAGTAATGGGATGTCCAGATCATTGTGCAGTGTTTGGTTAGATACATACCATGGAGCTTTACATATCATACGGAGTATTTTGGATTGGAATGTTTGAAGTATCTTCGTATTTGAAGGTTTACTACAGCCCCACAGTTCTATTCCATATGCACAAACTAGTATAAGTATAGCTTTGCACAAAAGCAGTTTATTTTCAAGAGATAACTGAGATCTCTTGTTAAATAGCCAATTCATATTTTTTAGTTTAAGATCTAGTTGTTTTCGTTTAGTTTTAATGTGGAGTGTTATTAGTATAAACTTGTGGACATGTGGATTTTCTTGTAAAAGTAATTTGTACTGATTTGCTAGCATTAACACTGATCTTCCATCGCTTAAGCCAGTTTTGTAATTGATCTAAATGATTTTGTGATGCTATATTCGCATCGATATCCACTGCCAAGATTCCCGTGTCATCGGCATATGTAGCTAAGAAGGTATCATTGCTGATTGGAACGTCTGATGTAATTATCAGATACAGAAATGGACCCAAAACGCTACCCTGAGGTACGCCAGATTGTATGATGTGGTAATTTGAGTAGCTGTTTTCAATTTTGACGTTGAAGTAACGGTCAGTAATATATGATTTTAGTATAAGGTATAGTTGGTCTGTTAGGTGTAATTTCAGTTTGTAGTGGAGGTCTTCATGCCATACTCTATCAAATGCCTGTGTATATCTAGAAACACTCCAGCGCAAAACTTTTTCTCTTCGAGAGTTGTTTTAATTATATTTACTATTCTGTTACATTGTTGGATGGTTGAGTGTTCACACCTAAATCCGAATTGGAGTTGTTGTGGTAAAATTTCGTTTATCGGAACAACTTGCTCGATTTTATGTAATAGTAGCCTTTCTAATACTTTTGACATTATTGTGAGTAGGCTTATAGGGCGATATGAATTTGCTTGCGTTGCGGGCTTAACAGGTTTCGGAATCATAGTAACTTGAGCAAATTTCCATTGTCTTGGGAAAGTATCGAAGACGTAGTATGCTGTTGTATATTATTGTTAATAGCACCAGTGCTTTTCTCGGTAGCTTCTGAAGTAATTCCCCTGTTATCAAATCATAGCCAGTAGCTTTCTTAGGATTTAGCATTTTTATTTGTTGTCGAACCTCTGTCGGAGTAAATGTTGTCAGAGGAAGAGATAGTTGACATGGAGTTTCGAGGTAATCATCATCTTCATCGTTATTAGTATCTGGTGCTGCGAATACAGTTGTTTTTTGTGCGTTTGTGCAGGTCATATCTGGTTTTCTTAAAGGTGAATTTTATATTGTCGGTTGTTTAAACTTTTTTGTAGGTTTCCATATAGAGTGGTCTTCATGTGAGAAGTTTGAAACATAAAACTGGAAAGAGTAGTTTTTTTCTTCATGTATTTAGTCTATGACTTATCCTGTTAAGGTACGTTTTATTTAGGATTTTTCGTTTTTTGCCATAGCGTCGAGCTCTTCTTTTTTCTGCTACCAGTTCTCTTATATGAAGGGAGATATTATGGTTTTCTTGCACACTTCTTTGGCGCTGTGGTGTTGCTTCCCATCCTGATGTTTGTAAAACTGTTGTTAAATAGTCTACTGCTTTCTCTACATCTTGGTTTTCTTTTATCCTAATATCTAATCTAATTTTTATATTTACAGAATTTTGGAAAACATCCCAGTTTGTTTCTTTAGTTGTGAGTTTGGGTGGTGGTGTTCTCCATATTATGTGTGTACTTAAAATTATTATTATTATACTGTGATCTGATGTTAAATCGAAGTTTGACTCTATTGCACTATGGATATCAGATATCCTTTTTGTTACAGCAAAATCTACCAAATCTGAAATTTTGTTGGCGTCCGTAGGCCAGTATGTGGGTTCTTCCGTAGATAAGTATCTTAAGTTATTTTGTTGGATGATATTCATTAATGCTTTAGGCGTGATTAATCTGGAACCCATGTGGTGTGTTTGGCATTCCAGTCTCCTGCTACTATGAATTTGGATCCAAGAGTTTGTATGAAATCATGATAATCTTCGCTTGAAATTGGATGTCTAGGTGGGCTGTAGACTGATGATACACTGATGTAGAATTTTTTACGTAATATAAGGTTGGACTGTATAGTGTTTAATTTTTGATTTAATAATAACGGCAGAACGCAGAACCTGCATGTGCTCCTCTGTCTGGATGGTTTGCATAATGCACAGTATAATAAGGTATCTTAATAACCGTTCTTTGTGTGGCATGGCTTTCAAATATTAATAGAATGTCTATATTATACAATTTTGAAAACAGTGATATCTCTAATATATAGTTTAAAATTCCATTAGCATTCCATGACGCAATTCGTAGTGACTTTAAAGCTATTTTGTTAATGACTGTAGTTAACATGGTTAAAATCATGCTATTTTAGTTGAGATAACATATTTTTGGATTCGTTTAGGACATTTGATAGTTTTTCTGCTAATTCATTGTTATTTTTGTTATCTACATTTATGTTTTCAACGGTAGCATCTCTATAACTGATTCTGTTGAAATTATGAGCATGATGTTGGGTAGCTATATTAAAATTGAGATTGTTGACAGGATTTTGAGTGGTGATTTGTTTTGATTTGTCATGGTATCTGGCATTTAGTAGTTAACGATAAACAGAATATTCTCTGTAATTAGAAGGATGGTCTCCGTTACAGTTAGTGTAAGTTGCTAGCGTGTTTTTTGGGTTCTTGTAGTCCTTTCTGTTATGTGATCCAGCGCATTTTACGCAATTATATGATTTTTCACAGTACGTTTTAGTGTGACCATTTTCTTGACATCGCGTTCCTTACCTTATGACCCTTTTTCTGGATTTCCACTTTTATTTCATCTATCGGAAAAGAGATGTAGATCTCGAATAACTGCTCTGTATGCTGTGTGTTCCTTAGATTGGTATGTATGGTGGACGATATTTTCTGTAGGATTCAGGTGTCTTTGGTAACATTTTTGTGTTTTCTGTTAAGGCTTTAGTGGAGTAAGTTTCTACTTCTACTGCTTGAGCTAAATTATCTATCATTTTACTATAGTTATTCACGTCATATATAAAAATTGGAGGGGTTTTGAAATTTTATGGATTTTTAGTCGTATCATTTACGGAGTTTTCCTGGGAAGTGACTGAAACCTATTTGATGGTGCAATTGGAGCGTCTTTTTCTCTTGAATCTTAACATTTAAGCATTTTTCTT